TTAATATGGTACTATAAGCTCCTTAAGATATGATGGTGCTCTCTAGTAGGGTAATATGGTACTATAAGCTCATTAAGATATGATGGTGCTCTCTAGTAGGTTAATATGGTACTATAAGCTCCTTAAGATATGATGGTTTCGACCAATTAGGGCTTTGTAGGTGAGGAGAAGGATTTTAAATTCTATTCTATATTTTACAGGGAGCCAGTGCAGAGAAGCTAATACAGCAGTAATATGATCTCTTCTCTTAGTTCTTGTTCGTACACGAGCTGCAGCATTCTGGATCAACTGGAGAGATTTAAGAGATTTATTAGAGCAGCCTGATAATAAGGAATCACAGTAATATAGTCTAGAAGTAACAAATGCATGAACAAATTTTTCTGCATCTCTTTGAGACAGGATGTGCCTGATTCATTAAATGTTACGTAGGTGAAAAAAGGCAGTCCTTGAAGTTTGTTTTATCTGAGAGGTCAAGGACAAATCCTGATCAAAGATAACTCTTTGCAGCTTCACTGCTCAGTGTGTCACATGCGGATATCAAACTGGAGAAACACACTGCTATTCATAACAGACTAGTTCAATTTAGAAGACGCAGTGGAGCTTGTCTGACTTTCTGTAACTCAGCACATGTTAGTGGAGAAGGATTCAGTGGACATCCAACCAAGGTGATCTGTAACGTAGACGTTAAACATCAGTCCACATCTGCAACGCATTTCAAGTGTTATTTAATAAATACATGATTTTAATAGTTTATTGAAGAACACTTCTTTCCTAATATTACGAGTAGTAAAAGCAAAAACAGGATTTTTCCATTTTAATTTAAATAAAGAGCAATACAAAGACTATACTGGGCTGATTGGATCATCCAGAACACCATTGTACCATGTTGTCTCTCCTCTCTCTGATTGGTCCTCTCTCTACTCTCTGAATGTTCCTCTCTCTGAATGTTCCTCTCTCTGATTGGTCCCCTCTCTCTGATTGGTCCCCTCTCTCTGATTGGTCCCCTCTCTGTAGGATCATTGAGGCGGTGTGTATCGGTTGGTTCACGGTGGAGTGTATTGTCCGCTTCCTCGTGTCAGTGGATAAATGGGAGTTTGTCCGTCGTCCTCTGAACATCATCGACCTTCTGGCCATCACTCCATACTACGTCTCCGTTACCATGACGATACTGACCGGAGAGAACTCCCAGCTGCAGCGAGCCGGCGTCTCACTTCGCGTCCTCCGCATCATGCGGATCTTCTGGGTGATCAAGCTGGCTCGTCACTTCCTCGGTCTGCAGACACTCGGCCTGACGCTGCGGCGCTGCTACCGAGAGATGATGATGCTGCTGGTCTTCGTCTGCGTTGCCATGGCCATCTTCAGCGCGCTGGCTCAGCTGCTGGAGCACGGTCTGGACCCGGAGGCCGGAAACAAGGACTACGCCAGCATCCCCGCCGCCTGCTGGTGGGTCATCATCTCCATGACCACGGTGGGGTACGGAGACATGTACCCGGTGACGGTGGCGGGACGAGTTCTGGGCGGAGTCTGCGTAGTGAGCGGCATTGTGCTGCTAGCACTTCCGATCACCTTCATTTACCACAGCTTCATCCAGTGTTACCACGAGCTCAAGGTACGCTCCACCCGCTGCTGCAACAGTCTGTCAGCAGAGTTCATCAACTGAGTTCATCAACTGAGTTCATCAACTGAGTTCATCAACTACTGTGAACATAAGTTTTCTCTTCAAGTGTTCAGACGTATTTCAGTTTTTGATCAGTGAGTTAAAAATGTTTAAAAAGATTTAACTTATAAAAGAAGCTCAATCTGTGGTTGTGAAATACTTTACTTTGAAAACTCTCAATTTAGACTTTTATTAAAGAATTGTTCAAATTTGAAAAGCTTGATCAGAAAAGTTAAAAACTTGTTAAAAATTGTTTTAGTAAAAGTCAGAAGTGAATATATATATTTATACAGAACATCATCAATGGAGCTTAATAGATAATAATAGATGTGATTTATTCAGTTATTATAACTTAGATCCTTGTTTTTGTGATGATTTTCAAAGTATAACATTAAGTATTCATCAGATTATACGATGAAGATCTTTATGGTTATTTGTTTTAATAAAATTATTGTGAATTATTACATCATTGCACTGGTTTCTTTTAAAGAAGTTATTAGTATAAATAAGAAAATGAACCCCATGATATATAATAATATAATAACATAATAACATTATAATAATATAATAACATAATATAATAACATAATAATGTAATATAATAACATAATAATATAATAACATAATAATATAATACCATAATATAATAACATAATAACATAACATAATAATATAATAATATAAACTCTTGGATTCTTTCATGAATTCTTACTCAACCAGCAGCCGGTGGACACAACCACTGTTTCCACGGCAACAGCAGAGAGGATGTGTAGCTGTGAATTATCTCAGTGAAGACGCTTCTTCTTCTTTGGTGTGAAATACAGCAGATACACAGACGATCTGTTAAACTTTAACATTCTTTTCTTCTTTTTAAGTCATCTTTGACTGAACATTGTTTCAAATGGTGAAAGAGTTCTTGTTTCTTATAATACTTATATTATTATACTTATAATACATATATTGCTATATATTATACTTATAATACTTATAATATAATATTATTGTACATATAATACTTCAGTAACATCACAAAGAAAAGGAACATGATGAGGAAACATTCTTCATCAGTCAGAGTGATAAAAAGGATCCTGAACTGTTGCCTTTCATCCTGTTTATTCATAAGTTATTGTATTCATAAGTTTGGTAGTGTTGCAATGACTAGAGATCTTAGTGGTGTCCAATCACATCTGTGTAATATTTCCCTTTAGCTTCCTTTTGTACAGTATTTCTCATTGTTGTAAATAGTTGTGTGAACACTGACTCAGAACTAATTCCTTATCCTTATTAGTAGGAGATAATGATGAGTTCTACTTACTTCTGTACCGATGTGGTAGAAGGTTCTTCAAACATTAAAGTGTTCTTCCTGAGATGTACTTATCTACCTGTCATGTTTCAGTGATTTTATATAATGATGTCATTTTTTTTTAAATTCTTTAAATCTGTAATGGCAGTCTTTGGTCACAGCCTGGATTCCCGTCTACACTACTTCTACTACTTCTGCTTCTACTACTGCTGCTTCTACTACTACTGCTTCAACATTTCTGCTACTTATTGCCACTGTATTAGTTGTATTTTTGAAATATTCCTGTTTCTAAGTAGTATTTTAAGCCAATCACTCAACAACATGTGAACTTGTTCTCTGTGTTTCAGGAGTCTGAATTAATTATTAATTAATTATTAATTAATTAACACTGCTGGCTCAGTGGTAACCGTGGTAACGGTCAAGGTGCTCCTCATAGCGAGTTTGTTTTTCATGAACCATCATTCAATGAGACTCCAGAGCTCTTCAATATAACACAAATACATTCTAACTGGGATCCATTTAAACTGGAATGTATCGAATATTGATTGAAAGTTATTTGTTAACCTGATATTTTTGGGCTTGTTTTCCACCCAAATACGACTTTGTGTCTATCAACTTGTGGTTTTAAAGGTTCATTCCACAAAAAATATGACTTTCTGTCTAACGACTTGTAGTTTTGAGGGTTAATTCTAATGAGTCAATTAATTTGTTACATGTGTAGAAGAAAATCTAACATCTCTTAATTGTATTGACTGTGTTATTTCATATTGCTCTTGTGTATTCCTGTGTAACAGTAACTATTCTACATTGATGAACTGATTTCTGTGAAACAGACTTGTTAGTTCTGCTTCTCAGACCCCTGAAGACTGACTCACATCTCTGGTGCTGATAGTCAGAATGTCTGTTTTCATGTT